CGTCAGGGTGAGAGAAGTCCCCCAGGTGTGTTGTGGTCAGTTAAGGCCACCAAAAAAAAACAGCCCATAAAAATAAGAGTAGGAGACGACCTTCACCATACAACACAACACGTGCTCACCGAGGAGGAGATCTTCCGGTCTCTAGTATCCTTCTTTTCCTTAGAGGTTCTGGTGCTCTTCCTGGAGGTCACACTCAGGCTGTCGTCTTCAGTCTGGCTTCCCGCACGGTCTCCAAGGCGAGTCTCCGGCCGTCGGGGAGGCCTGGGAGTCTCCGGGTCTGTGCCACCAGACTCACCACTCCAGGAAGGGGCGTCGTTGAGGTCGTATGAGCGAACAAAAAACTTTTTCATTTTCTCCATCATCCTGACGGAGGATCAGTTCCTTCTGCAGCGTTGAAGTCTCTTGGAAAATGTCTTTCTTTTTCTTCATTCGAGTTCCTTTAATTTTCCATTTCAGAATCACCTTCCAGAAGTACACCAGTCTATTGTAATTGTTTGTAAGCGTTCTGTTCAGTACCTAATATTATTTATGTACCTCAATGTTTAACCAGCACTACAGTCACAACTCCTCTCGGGAGAGGTGTTGTAAAACGTTCCTATTACATTTTGGACACACACATGGACAACAAAAAGACTGGCCTGGCGGGTTGGACGTCGCTCGCTGCAAATAACTAACCTTGCAGACGGCAGCTTCTATCAAGCTCAGCGGCCACCGTAATATCTTTTATTTCTGTATTACTAATAGTCTGAGGGAGAGGTTAACATTACGTCTTGATGTAATATAAATCTTGGAGGTTCCATTGATTACTTGTAAGTCATAGGATGGTATATTAGAGTAGATCATCCACAGTTTGAGATAACAAGAAGCTGGGGTGGACAAGTGCAGCCCGGGCCAGGCATGGCGGAGCAGAGACGGCGACGTCCTCCCCCGACCACAGACTCAACACGACTGACCCCTCATACACACACACCATGCCAGACTACTCCTTGGGCTCTACTGTGGGAGGGAGGGGACATCACACACACACACACACACACACACACACACACACACACACACACACACACACACACACACACACACACACACACACACACATTTACTGGATACAAAGATGCTGTGACTGAGTGACCATAAGGAGGAACACATACATGAACTCTTACACGACAAAAACTGCAAAACATCGGTAATAAAGGTAAAAAAATACACTCATATACTCTATCCTGCACCGAGCCGCCGGGTTTTTGTACAGCACAGTTTATTAATACCACTCGATCTATACCGACACAGTTTAATACTCCGAAGAGAGATTATTACATATTGGTACAATATTCACTTAGCCCGTACAAAACTATTAATGATAACGAGAGACGCTGATCGTCCTTGCCTAAGAATTTTGGAACCCATAAAAAATATATTTTGCATCTATATCTTCATGCTAATTAGTTTAAACGTGTATTGAGACTGAAGGCAGAGGCAGTACATGTTCCAAAATATATTTCACGTATTAGAAAAAACAATAAATGTTAACATTAGCTGGACTATATATTTGTTATAGTAATATAAGTAAAAAAAACAAATGCACGATTCAATTTTGCTAAAATAAGACCTTTATTATGACACGATTCACCTAAAACCTAAAAGTACGACTCGTCTAGGTTAAAGACACGACCAGTGTAAGCTAAAGGTACGATACACTACAGCAAGACAGCAAGAAGAGTACGACCCACACGACTAACAGTAGCTAAAAATATAAAAACTCACAACAGCTAAAGCACGACCTATCACTGATAAAAACATGACCCATAGCTGTAAAAAGCACGACATATAACTGATAAAAGCACGACCCATAACTGATAAAAGCACGACCCATAACTGATAAAAGCACGACCCACAACGGATAAAAGCATGACTTGTAACAGTTATATGCACAGCGCACAACAGACATGAGCAGCAACAGTAGGAGGAGACGAGAGACACCAGAGGTTCTTCCCGCAAAAACAGTGACTCATCGGACCCCAGCAGTGTATTACCCTCCGGAAGCAGCTGATGGGGCTACACTCACATCACCAAGCTCAAACACACGCACTAGACTTTATTTTTCTTACTAACACTACACAAATGTAATTTTTTTTAACATAACTAAAATAGACAAAAAGATTCATATATCATATTAATTTCGTGTCATCCATTGTTAAACTCACGTCCAGCACCACCACCACCACCACCCGGCTACCAACAACACGTCCAGCACCACCACCTCCGGCTGCCAACACGTCCAGCACCACCACCACCACCACCACCCGGCTACTAACAACACGTCCAGCACCACCACCACCCGGCTACCAACAACACGTCCAGCACCACCACCACCTCTCCGGCTGCCAACAACAACACGTCCAGCACCACCACCACCCGGCTACCAACAACACGTCCAGCACCACCACCACCACCCGGCTGCCAACAACACCACCACCACCACCACCACCACCAGCCCCGGTATTAAATGTTCAAGATGAGAATTTATGATACACAATACCGGGTGTCTTAAGGGTAAAGTTCCTTAGGCTTACCCCTCGTCAGGCAGCCCACAGTGATCATCTTAATTGGCCACCAGAGGGCGACACCGAGTAATGGCCGCACCCAGGGGAGAATCCTGTATCACCTTTCCTTATTCATTAACTCAGAGACTCATATATCTAGTTAATCACCTGACTAATGATCAAGTGCCTGGTAAGCCCTTTAATAACTTTCTTCATTCATTAAAACAAAACACTGAGGTTAACTTGAGGTCTTTTATTACTACTTATAAATGTCGCTTGTGTTATGGTCAGTTACTATACATAATGGAGTCCCGTTTTACCCCATCTACCTAATGGCTATGCCGAGGGAAGGAGGCGAGCTTGTCTTTTCGTGTTGGTGGTGTATGACATCACAAAGCAGTGGCTCGGGTTCACGTTTTTCATCCCCGTTGAGGATTTTTTGAATTTAAATGAGATCTGCCCTAGTGAGTCTTGTCTGAAGCGTTGTTAGTCCTAAGGCTCTTGTGATATAGGATATGATCTTGGCGTCGTCGTGGGCGTGTCTACAGGCGGACACCAGGGAAAGGGGAGAGAAAGGGAAAGGGGTTGTGGATACAGGGAGATAACAATACTGAGGAGGGAGGGTGGAGGTAGGGAAGGGAGAGATAAGAGGGAGGAAGGGATAGGAGGGAGGGGGTAGGGGAGGGAGGGGTAGAAAAGGGAGGGAGGGATATGGGGGAGGTGGGTAAGGAAGGAAGGGAGGAAGCAGTGGAAGAAGGGAGGCAGGGAAAGAAGGAGGTAAAGAAGGGAGGGCGGGGAAGGAGGCAAGGAAAAGAGCAAGAAGGGAGGCAGGGATGGGAGGGAGGGAGGGAGGGAAGGAAGGGGGGAAGCAGGCAGGCAGGAGAGAGGTGGTGAAAGGCACACTGTTGTCAACACGGTATGGGCGAGAGACGCGAAGGCCGACAAAGCGAAGACTTGGTTGAATGTGACAATAGAATGAACCTGGACGATAAGAGAAAGAGAAAGCACTTAATTAGAGACAAAAGGAGATTCGAAATAGTGACCAAATTAAAACTATGAAACTATTTAAATAAGCAAAGACTTAACAATAGAAAGACGTTCACATCTGGCTGGCGGGAAAATCACACCTACGTGAAGACAGTTGAAAATCCCTCGTCACCAAATTCCATCACCAATTTCCCCCAAAAATGCTAATCCTCAATCAACAGGAGTTCAAAATTACTCCGATTTTAACACAAAAGAAAAGGTTTAAAGGGTTTCAATGTATGATAAAAAGTTACGATACAAATTAAAAATATACTTATCCCTGTGCAAAATAATTCTAACACGGTGCCATCTCTCGCCTCAAGGGTGGAAATCCTGGCCAATGTGGAGATAAAACACATTCCACTTGTTTATCTTACAGTGTTCCGAGTCAGGGTTTTCTTTGCCTAATAATGATACAATGACCTCTGTTGCTGACGACGACTGAGATAACAGACTGGAGAATCCCAACCAGCCATAATGACGGACTCAAGCAACGTTGAGTATTTTGGCAGAGGTGCACAAGCGAGGATGACTGACTGTTGAGGCGTGGCCGCTAACCCGCCTCCCAAGTTCCCAACATTCTCAACGCGTCTCTCACACCACCACCGTGCCTGACTCGGCTATTTCGATGTTATGTTGATGTTACATTGTATTTCTGGATAATGTTGCTAAACTTAAAATACCTGACCTCATAATTCAACTCGTACTCGACGTAGGGCAGCTCACCTGTAATTATCTTGGAGGCCAGATTAAAATATAAATTAACATGTCATAATAAACCAAGCCGGCAAAAAGTCTTACAGGCCAATCTGGCTGACTGGTTAATATTCAACAGATAAAAAACAAGAGACATTCCACTTTGAAGACAATAATTAGAAATCAGAGGTAACTGCCGAGCTGTTATTGTAATGACGAATGATAAGAGTAACGTTAACGAGAATATTGTGGATAAAGTGAACGAATAACCTAAGAGGGAATAATAATAACAAAATAGTAGGTGAGGGAGCCAGCGGCGAGGTAAGAAGGACAATGCAGCCTAGTCACTTCCTCAGCTCCTCTCAGTTACCAATTGACACTGCGTCTTTTCATTGACAAATAATTAAAGCAATTGTATTTCTTTTCGTCTTTTTTTTCTTTTAGTGAATGAGGTGTGCAGAAATGCCTTGTTGTTTTATCAGTGTTGTGGTTTGGTGGTCCGTTACTGCACCGTGAGTGGCCGTGAAGTCACAGTACGTGATTGACCATAATGGCTCTGACACGTATACGGTATTTCGAAAACTTAACTAACGTACTAGACTTTTGTGAGTTGTTAAGGTCGTGACCCATGAAACTGTTGACGAAATCTCTATTGTTATATAAAGTTTGATGCTCTATTTTTTGCTTATATATTTTTATCCCCCGTCATGTAGGGAGGGGAATTTAATACTGTTTATGACTCCGTCTGCCTCCCCGAGCATCCGTTTGCCTCTCCATCCGTCTGCCTCTCCGTGCATCCGTCTGCCTCTCCGTGCATCCGTCTGCTTCTCCGTGCATCCGTCTGCCTCTCCGTGCATCCGTCTGCCTCTCCGTGCATCATCCGTCTGCCTCTCCGTGCATCCGTCTGCCTCTCCGTGCATCCGTCTGCCTCTCCGTGCATCCGTCTGCCTCTCCGTGCATCCGTCTGCCTCTCCGTGCATCCGTCTGCATCCGTCTGCCTCTCCGTGCATCCGTCTGCCTCTCCGTACATCCGTCTGCCTCTCCGTGCATCCGTCTGCCTCTCCGTGCATCCGTCTGCCTCTCCGTGCATCCGTCTGCCTCTCCGTGCATCCGTCTGCCTCTCCGTGCATCCGTCTGCCTCTCCGTGCATCCGTCTGCCTCTCCGTTCATCCGTCTGCCTCTCCGTGCATCCGTCTGCCTCTCCGTGCATCCGTCTGCCTCTCCATGCATCCGTCTGCCTCTCCGTGCATCCGTCTGCCTCTCCGTGCATCCGTCTGCCTCTCCGTGCATCCGTCTGCCTCTCCGTGCATCCGTCTGCCTCTCCGTGCATCCGTCTGCCTCTGTGCATCCGACCACCCATCTATACAGTACTTTAGTCCGTCCGTCCTCACATAAACACAAAACAAACAAATAACAATCGACTTTTATTCTCGTTAACATCACAATAGAACTTCATATTTCTTTCCACACAAAACGGAAACGTCTGAGCAAACCTTTACTCACCCTCAGCGACTTGTGTCTGTCCAGGAGCTCCGTGTCTGAAGGGTGTCCACGAACCTGTGCCCCTGCCAGTTACAGTACTAGGGTGTCCACTAAAGTCGAGGTGTCCAAGTAAGCAAGACCGACCATGGGATGTATCACGCACCACAGGATAAAAACAAAGAGGCCGATCATATGTACCAAACACGTAGTTCTGAACAAAAAGACAAAACAAATAAAAACAAAAACACTTCACGAACACATACAGCGACAAACACAATCATGATTCAGCAAATACTAAAGAACTACGTGGAACTACTTGTGTCTGTATTTAATTTATCTCAAGTGTGAAATAATAAGTAACATCGTGGTAACAAAAAGTAAGAATTATTTTCAGGTCTAGTCACTGTTACGCACGAGAGATTTTGAGACAAGGCGTTAAATAAAATATAATCATACGTTTTTGACACGAAAGTAACTCAGTTAAATGTTTACAATAGCTCTACTACGCCACAATCACGTTCCATAGCTGTGGTCGGTTGTCTGATATTTCATCTAATCCAAAAGCCTCTAAATCTGTGACTAATTTGGTGGACGAGGGGACGAATTCACCATCACTGTCAACAGGTCAGCCGTATAAGACTCAACACACACACACACACACACACACACACACACACACACACCTATCACCATACTTGGGAAATAATTCACTAAGTTGGCAACGTATTCAATCACTAATGACCGGAAGCGTTAACGATGAAGAACTGTGTGTGAGAGAACGGTACTAACGCGCCTCTACCTGACACATCTACCACCACGCCATCATTCGAGGATTATGGTGGTAATGGTGTAACTGAGATGCGATGGCTGGTCATGCACGGGATCTGGTCAGCCCAACTCATGCACGACGAAGGTGACGCCGTGCCTGATGCCTCTCTATCTGCCTGCTGGTGCTGTTATGGCGATGACCCGGGAGTGAAGAGGTCCCCAGGTCTATACACTGACTGGGGTTATACAGCGTGGGATAGGTGGTGAGGTGAAGTGAAGTGAAGAGTAAAATATTAAATTGCACGAGTAAAAACCCATAACAGTTCTCCCCATCACCACAAATACATGCCTTCCACCACCACCACCACCACCACCACCACCCACTACTTCAAAACACCACCACCAACCATTACTTCTGTACACCTTACACACACACACACACACACACACACACACACACACACACACACGCACGCACACACACACACACACACACAGCAACATTTAAGGCCTATACCTTTAATTTCCTTCTAATTTTATAAAGTTAACGTCAAATTACCATCTACAGCCAAGGGTCAAGTGTATAGTGAGGAGCTATGTTTTATACAGGTCCAGTCCTCCTCCACCACCTTTAGGCCTCCTGCACCTCCAGGTTCTCCTCCACCACCAGGTCCTCCTCCACCACCAGGTCCTCCCACCACCATTAGGTCCTCCTCTACCATCTGGTCCTCCTCCACCAGGTCCTCCTGCACCACCAGGTCCTCCACCACCAGGTCCACCATCAGGTCCTCCTCCAGCATCAGGTCCTCCTCTACCATCGGGTCCTCCTCCACCACCAGGTCCTCCTCCACCATCAGGTCCACCGGTCCTCCTCCACCATTAGGTCCTCCACCACCATCAGGTCCTCCTTCACCATCAGGTCCTCCACCACCAGGTCCTCCTCCACCAGGTCCTCCTCCACCACCAGGTCCTCCACCACCATCAGGTCCTCCTCCACCATCAGGTCTTCCTCTACCATCAGGTCCTCCACTACCATCAGGTCCTCCTCCACCACCAAGTCCTCCTCCACCACCCTCCTCCACCACCAGGTCCTCCTCACCACCAGGTCCTCCTCCACCACCAGGTCCTCCTCCACCACCAGGTCCTCCTCCACCATCAGGTCCTCCTCCACCATCAGGTCTTCCTCTACCATCAGGTCCTCCACTACCATCAGGTCCTCCTCCACCACCAAGTCCTCCTCCAATACCAGGTCCTCCTCCACCACCAGGTCCTCCTACACCACCAGGTCCTCCTCCACCACCAGGCCCTCCACCACCAGGCCCTCCACCACTAGGCCCTCCAGCAGGTCATCCTCCACCAGGTAAGTGATGGTGGCACATTCGTTGAGAGTTTTGCGAATCTATGTCAAGAAATTTCACCAAACTCTGTGAGAACAACACCAGTATCTTGCGAGACACGTGGCGGTGATTCTCAGTGTGGAGGTGGTAAGACCCACACACCTGTCAATACACGTTATCCAGGACCTGTGACACTACCATAACGTCCCCTGCGCCTCAGTAGTCTACACCCTCAACACCTGTCGCTCCCCCATCACACACCTGCTGTTTGCTTGTCACCGCTCCCTACATGTGGGCAAGTCATCAAGAGGAAATGAACACCACAGTTACTTAACACTACACACACTACTACTACTTTGCTGTCACTCTGAATCGAGTATGACGATCATCCAGCTATGATACAATGATATGAGTTATTAAGGATGTCACCTTCGTTGGTGAGTTTTGAGATGACTCGAGAGGCTGATATGGGACCGGCAGGGTCGTCCACAGATGTTGCATATGTGGAGGGCTACATCTAGTGCGGGAGGGGCGGCAGCACATCTTTCCGGCGTTGAAGCTTGTCTGCCTCGGTATGCAGTCGGGCTAACTCGAAGGTATTGACACCTTCTCGTGCGGTGTTCCCCCAAGCGTTACACTGTGGAGTAATCGTCTCCCAGGTGAGGGGGCCGATTTGGCACTTTTTCAGGTGTCTTAAGTCTATCCTTATACCTTTTCAGTTGCCCGCCAGTGTTACGTTTATCATTCGTTAGGTGACTATAGTAGCACACACACACACACACACACACACGCACACACACACACACACACACACACACACACACACACACACACACACCATCTGTTACTCACTCCATCCATTACGTTGTTGATTAAACCACAGGTACAGTTCCGGAAATGTGTTCCTACGCCCCCTGTGGTAACCCGTATCTCCAAACGTGTAACCTTTATGAACTATAGCAAACCCATGGCTCCACCAATCACGTCCTTCGTTACACAACCAATACCCATTCATTCATAAAATTAAAAGTGATACTACTACTGCGACGTTGCCCTTTGGAGACACGGGTTACCACAGGGGGTGTAGGGAAACAGTTTATTTAGCCAGAACACAGATATAGAGTCGATAAAAATCATAATATTAACATGGCTGAGCCAGTTGAGAGCTCGGAAACAACAACATAAACTGACATATTTGTTTACATAATTACCTTTCCATCACACGTTAAAAAGTTTCATTATAAGAAATAAGAAAAAATAATAACGACTTAAAGAAATTATTGAAATATATGTAAATAAGTGAACACCTGTCTTCGCCTCTGTAAACAACTGTCCTCGTCTCTGTAAACACCTGTCCTCGCCTTCATAAACACCTGTCCTCGCTTCTGTAAGCACCTGTCCTCGTCTCTATAAACACCTGTCCCATTCACCTGGTCTAAAAAGAAGCCTTTAACCTAACCTAACCAACCAACATTCTACAGCCTCTCTCCTGCTTAATTAAAGGTGTAACACAGCACAGGTGATTCATAGTCTACAGGTGACCGACTCATTATACCTGCCTTAACTGTCATTATATCCGCCTTAACTGTCATCATACCTGCCTTAAATGTCATCATACCTGCCTTAACTGTCATCATACCTACCTGTATATATTTTCATTGGCCTGTTGGATGACTTATCATCATATTCTATATCAACCATTAACTGCTAAGCTAATTTCCTCTTACTAGTTTGTAAAGTAAGGAATTTGTTACCTTCACCTGGCAACAGAAGGTTTAGTTTACGTGTTATGCGTGTTTAGTGCACTGTACTATGGTGGTTTACTAACTGCCGCAGAGCTACTCTTGTTGGGCTGCCTGACCAGTTGGATAACCTGCCGTGTGCCTCTAATCATCTACCCGTGGTTGTATTAGGTATATGAAGGAGGTGAGGGCGACGAGGTGTGAGTGTGGGAAGCTGAGATGTGGCGTCGGTGTGTGGGGATGGTTAACACAACGGTGTGTGTCAGTGGCTCCTGCTTTTGCCCCTCGTCATGGCTCCGCCAGGCCAACCACGCAGGTGATGGTGGGAACTCTCCAGGGCGTAGTTTATGATAGAGAACCCGTGATGGCGTAGCTAACAGTTGTGGAGGAGCAGCTAGGTGGAGGTGTGTGTGGTCATTGATTGTTTTGCCCACGTCTGGTAGGTTCACTAACACTATACACACCACATGCTGGTTTATATTATGAGTTTTCTATATATGCACCATATATATATATATATATATATATATATATATATATATATATATATATATATATATATATATATATATATATATATATATAAACAACTACATACACTCGACGGGACTTTGTCTTAGAGCCAATTTTACAAACGACAAATTATTAAATTTTTTTCAGACAATAAACCCAGTGTGGTGCTGAGGGCCCCGCCTGGGACACGGTCACGCGTCACTTTCCAACCTCAGGAAATGTTCCTTTTTTCTAGTTTTACCCGAGACAGTCCACCGTTGACTGCCTCTAATAATTTGTTCGAGTAGCCCTCACACTGTTCTCGGTATACAGCAGGTGCGTCATGTGAGGCTCACTAAGAAAGTCAAAGTTCACCAGTCTCTTGCAGATATAGAACAGAAGCAGATCCTCAGTCGAATGCACATAATGATTAAACTACTCTACTGCCAGCTAATATTACAACCACAACAGCCTGTCAGGCACCAGAAACCTTTACTGGCCAGCACAACAGGAGAAGATTTCCGCCAACTGCTGCAACACATATCATGACGGTGTTGCAAAAACCTTCCCTGTC